GGGGTGGGGGGGGGGGGGGGGGGGGGGCGGGGTACGAGTCAATTTCGCGCATGTCTTAAATTTGGTCGGCAGAGTGTACTTTTATGTAACTTTTATTTTTCTCGGAATCTTATATCGAAGCATTTATAGATTTTTAATCATTCGAATGAAAAGCGTTATTGGATTTTTTTATTTTTTATTTTTATTAGGAAATGAAACTTCACGGGCAAGCAAATGCAAGGCGACGCTTCGGTAGCATTGGTAGTGCAACGTTCAAGATTCATTCTCCTCCGTTTCATCTTAGAATCATAAAGTAAAAAGTATTAGGGAAGATCCGTCTGGAGTGATCGGCTGATTAAATTCGAAGCAGCGAGGCTTATTAAAAGGCATTTTGACCGACTTCCCTTTCGCATACGTCACGGGCCCTTAACGTTTAATGACACCAAATGGCAAGCCGTAGGCCATAAAACGCAAGAAAGCCGCCCACTGCTCGCCGAAACCCTTTATCACGAGTCCGAAGGTCGGCAGTTTCTTTCGATGCCCGCGTCATCCAGCCCACTATACCATTTCGTCCACCCTACGACTCCCCCTCCCCATCCTCGCTGCGCCTCACGCACGCTTATCGCTGCCTCTCACTCACTCTCTCTCACTCACTCTCTCTATCACACACACACACACACACACACACACACACACACACACACAGAGACACACACTGCCCGTCGGTAGTGCTTCGTAAATTCGCGTTATCGAGCGCGGTATCGAGCGTGCGGGGACGGACACGTGGGGCCGATGGAGCGTCGGTACGCATGGACGCACATCGTCCTTGGCAAAGACGACGGAGATCGTCGCGGTCAGGTAAGCGACAGCGACGTCCGGAGAGAGACGCGGCCCTCGTTACGCACCTTGCGATGTACTTGTTGGTGATTTTGGGAAATTGCGCGAAAATAGTGGCACCTGTCGCGATTTATTGCCAATGACGGCGTCTCCCTCGCTCCTCGGCTCGCAATAATTACGCTCCCGTGCGAGCCAAGTGTCCTGTCTCCGTTCGCCGTGCATTTACCGTTATGTCGAGTACGTGCTCCGATGTTCCGGCGAAACGTAAAGTATATCGATGCCTATACCCGCCTCCCCCCGTCCCCCGTCCCCCGCCGCCATCCCCCTCACCCCAAAATCATCCCATTCCCCCATCGTCATCCCACATAACCCTCCTTCTGACGTTAAATATCTATTGCTGCGCCCGGCTCTTATTACAATTATATTTAGATCGGGCACTCTCGACTTCATCGTACAAAAGAATAATCCGTACTTGCGTGTTTTTGAGGCGTTATTTTCACGCTCGGGATGCGGGTCACGTTATTTCTAGTACTCACTCGCGTAATTTTACATTTGCTACCTTTTTCACTGTTTCAACGCCCGGCTCGCGTGGCTACTCGACAGATTATTATTATGTGCGCGCGGGGATTACATCACTGGCGCTTTATTCGAAAGGTTGGGCGCAACGATAGCAATGTTTGTGCAATCGGAGCTTTTAACGAATAATCGTAAGAGTAGATATTTCGATATAAATGTAAGACTGGTCTCGATCGAAATAGATATTGTCGGCGTATTACCACCTCGTTTAGAGATTATTCTCCTTCCCCATACTCCCCCCTACCCGTAATATTAACGATTTTATGGCAAATATTTCCATTAAAATTTTATTGGTGCTCTTTATGCCCACGATATCGACTATTTGTGATTGTCATTTAGATTGGATTGGGTATTTAGCGTCGAAATAGTGTAGGCATTTTTATTTTATTCAAAACGAGAGCTCCACCTCGATAAATGTAGAAAGTCACGCGAATTGAATATATTTGTTGCCGCTTAGAATTTTAAGTAGCAAGTCAATTGGAGTTTGCATGATTAGCCAAGTTCTGTTTTTGTTTTCACATAAATAAACGGAAATTCGGGCGAGGATGCTTTTAATTATCATTGATAATTTTTTTCACCCGCTTTGAATAAAGTAACATTTACGCAAAATTTGTACTCTATACAAAGTGTTTAACGCAACTACTTTTAACGTTACTTTCTTAACTGTCTTATCAGTCTTTGAGTGTTTTTGTTTTTATTTTTGTTTTTCACTATCGTCATCATCATCATCATCATCATCATCATCATAATTATCGATTATCCATCATCGCTGGTGCTTCATTCTACTTCTGCTCGTATCTCTAGGTAAATACAATTACAGAACTGCATTACCAAACAACATCAATGAGGTATCGCACGTAATTTAATGAACTTGATTTATTGATGGGCATGAGATATCATGAGATTCTAACATAATATTAAAATCCTTATGAGCAAGCGCGCTAAATAAATGTCAAATGAAAGTCCGTCAATGTACTTTGCAAGTGACGATTATTTGAAAAGAAGCTCGAGCCTTATGAACTTCGTCATCACAATTATTAGATTACAGAGTCATTTTACTCGTACCGCTCTCAACAAAAATTGACATTTCCCTATGCATATGCGAATTCTTCGCTGCAAAAATTTCTCATGTAATCGTGACGGTGCTATTAATCGCATAAACATCCACACAGTACACTCTTCCTCTATTCGTGTACAACTCTTAACTATATGAGACTATGAGCAAGATCTGTCTTAGCCGTCCTGCCTTACATCCACAATCTCATTATTAGTACAGAGTACGAGCTACTACTCCGAACAAATACATAAATACGAAGATGTTTACACGCTTTATTCGATAAGTCGCATTGCGTAATTTGACAAATCACACTGGCTTTTCCGCGCAACGATAAATATTAATCTGCGCGACGTTACGCACATTAGCCTACGTCTTATTCACTTTTTTTTTCTTTTTTTTGCTTTTTTTTTTTTACGTCAATTGCTCGGGGCTTTTAATCATCTGCTTAGAAGTTAGATGCATTTTGCGAAATGGGCATGTTTACGTACCCGAGGCTTACACATATATTATGCAAATCAGTCGCACCGAGTTTTTCATCGGACGATCGCCAAATGCGTAAGCCGCCGTAAGCGGATTTCCCCGTAAGAAAATGACGTCGACAAGGACACGGGCGCGCTCTCGCTCGCTGCCCGAGACGGTTAAGAGGCGAGGAGGTTCTGGAGTGCCGGAGAGAAAGTCAGACAAGAAGAAGACGGCGGCGATGTCCAGCGGAATCCCAAGAGCCGCTGGAAAGTTCTCGACGAGCGTCGTAGTGGTCGCTCGGGTTCAGCGGCGTGGTAAAAGGCGTCGACGGTGGCTCAACGATCGAGATCGGAAGCCGAGGTCCAGATGTACCCGTAACGCGGGTCGACCGCCTTCGGAGAAAGCAGCGTCGTGGTATTGAGGGAATCTGGGCGCGACCTTGGGCCGCGGGCTCAATGAAAGGGGGCAGAGAGGCAGGCACGATCGCGATCGCCGCCGGGGAGGGGCGGCGCTAAAACTGGCCGGAGCGCGCCCCCGGATTCGCGGGCTCGTCGCTCACGCGATGTGTCGTGCGCGCGCGGGCGAGGGCGGCCCGGGGGTCCGAGGTGGTGGCGGCAGCGGGACTCCGTGACGGCGGGGGAGGGGGATGGCTGTGGCAGTGGCGGCGTCGGCGGTGGTGGCGGTGGCTGTGGCGGTGGCGGTGGCGGTGGCGGTGGCTCCGGCGGCAGCTACGGCGGCTACGGCTACGGCTACGGCTACGGTTACGGTGACTGCGACGGAACGGGGATTGGTGATCGGCGAGGGCGGGAGGGAGGTACGGGGGCCGGGGGGGGGGGGGGGGGGGGGGGGGGGGGGGGGGGGGGGGGGGGGGGGGGGGGGTCAGTACGAGGACGACGTCGGAGGGGCTCGTCCCTCGTGGCTGGCGGTGGGGCGCGCGGCCCGAAAAACCGAGGCGCCGCGTAGGTCGGGCACCAAACGCATCGCCGACGCCACGCCGACAGGAGGTTCCGCAGAACGCGAAACTCCGTACCGGTTCTCTAGTGCGACGACGAGGATGACGTGGACGAGAACGTATACGATGACGGTCTCGAGCACTCTGGCGCTGCTTGCGCTTCTGCTCCTGACTAAGCTGCGGGGGTGCGGGGCCAGTGGCGAGGCCTTCAGCGTTATCGAGTGGCTGCCGGACGGCGAGCTCCAGAGGACCATCAGGTGGAACGGGACCTGCGCCCGGGAGGTTCTCGTCGATTGGGGGTGAGTACGGGCGTGAGTCGAGGGTTCGCCAGGTCGCCAACACCTGAGGTCGATGCTCTCGACGGATCGCTTGATCGTTGCGTAAACCGACGTTTGAGCTTTATAAGGTTGCGAGTAAGCGGTGGCGCGAATCCCACTCGCTCGAGGATATTTCGACGTGCGACGCTCCAAGCGATTGGAGATTTTTAAATAGGCGCAACCGTGTCAGCAAAGCATTACTCTAGTAGCGCACGTGCTTACGCGGCGACTCGTTTGACATTCTAACGCGACCAGCGACGTCATAAAATTGTGCTTTTTATTGATAAAGGGAAGGGCTGCTCGGATGGACGCAGCTCTGGCTTCGTCGCGTCGCACATGATAGAGAACAAAATAACGAAGAGAGAAAAGAAAGTGGACCCGAACGGGGGGGGGGGGGGGGGGGGGTGAGAAATTATTCGATTGGCTAGGACACTCTGCAGTGGCGGTTTTGCTTCAGTAATCGAAATTGAAATAGCCGGATAAGTTGTGGATCGCCGTTGACGAAACTGTAAAGTTCGTTCGCGCGACTCCCCGGTCGCCTATACTACACAATCGACGTAATTAACATCCAACCACAACGTTTAATCATATTTTCAGTCCGCAATATAATAATCGGCCTTTAATCCGTATTCATGCAAATATCCATCTTTCGCTCTCTCTCTCTCTCTCTCTCTCTCTCTCTCTCTCTCTCTCTATCAATCTATCTTGACAATAATATTGCCCTCGGCACGCTATGTCTATTAATCCCTTTGTTGATTAATATGTATTTACGGCTGCAATATTTACATAGTACAGCGCAAACTTTCGTGTCTTCGCAGCATGGAATATCATTTGCGGGTCCAGCAATTAATAAAGCCGTTCGCGATGCTACATTTCCCGGCCAGTGACGGACGATTTAATTCCAGCGACGAGAATTAATCGCAGGAAAAATTGGTCGCAATCTCCATTGCAACGGGCAGCTTCGATATAAGCAGGGCGCGAGGCCAATTATTAGATGGAATAATCCTTAAATGGGCATTGGAAAAACTAATGGGTCGCTTCTTGCTTCGACTTTGTGTTGGCTGGGCTAATTAATTAAGCGAGGCAGGGCAGCACCGGCACCTCGCACCGATCGCGCAATAGATCGTGCGCTTAAGTATCGCTTGTGAAACGCGGATCGACGCGTGCGCCACTATTTTCGCCGAGTGCGAGAGTTCTCGTCATCGTTGGAATTCGTTAGCCAGGTTTGCCTTGAGGCTTCTAATACCGCATTTAGAAAACAATTGCGCGCACTCGGCCGACTGCCGAGATAATGGGGATTCGAGGATTGAGGATGAGCCACGGCTGTGGAGCGTCCGACGTCAATGTAAATCCATATCCCATCGAATCTAATGGCATCCGATGGTTCGCCGCTGCGAGCACCGATTGCATTTATCGCTGTAAGGTCGGTTATTTAACGAGGGCTTCCTCCTCCTCGGCGCTCGACGCACGCTTGTCTTGCGTCTCGAATCTCGGTGTGTCGTGCGTGACGCGATGAGTCGTGACGGTACGATAAGTCCAACGAGTCTCGTCATCGATCCGACGATTAAACACGACGACTCGCGTCCACTGCTATTACGCGATTATTCGATCGGAAGGTCGAGAGGATGCCGGAAATTTTCGCACATATTTCATTAAAATACGTTAAATTTTGGGCGGGGCATCAATCGGCCAGTGACATCGTGGGATGATGGGATGGGGTGGGCTGGGGTCGGTGATGGGGCCTGTCACTTTTATTTTTACGTGGAAAAGTCAGCGGTTTCTCATGAGCGCATGTATTCGCTGATTGATAATAATTTAGCTTATGCGAATGAATTAGGAAGATAAATGAAATGTTTGCGGAATAAATGACCTTTCAACTATTGCGTTACAATAGTCTATAGTGCGCGATGCATCGCGATTACGGTAATACGTAAAATCGATCTACAGAAAGTTTTACCGTGAACTTGCGGTTATCTGCCTCAATGATAGAATTAATACACCCACGCATGCCGTGAGAGAAGAAATTAAGAGGAGAATACAATATTTAAAAAATAGCTAAATAGATACACACTTGCATTTATTTACAATACTAATACTTACGGACTTATGGGATGTCGAGGAAGTTTTTTAATACGGTAATGTGTAAATTATAGGTGTTTTTTCACGTTAAATCAATTTTATTCGTCGCCATTAGCGCTCAATTATTCTCAGTGAAATTATTTTTTGTAGAACATCGCGATGTCTGTATTATTATTTGCTTGTGTGAACAGTGTCCGCAACGTTATCGCAAATGCATTTTCATAATTAGATTTAATTAGACGTAGAAGCACTTGCACGTAAGTTTTATTCGCTTAGGAGAACTTTACGAACGTATCGATGCCATTATGTGTCGAAAGTTCGAGCAAATTACTCGGTCACGTAGGAGTTGAAAAATTAAATAAGATAGCCTATTTATCATAAAAGTGATGATTTTCATTCGAATATCCCTTTCATACCCATACCACACACACGCGCGCGCGCACACGTTCCCCCTCCTCCACTCCACCCCCCAATCCCCCAATCCCCCTTCCCGCGTAAATAGAGACCTGAAAAGTCATGATTTGACCTTCGTTCGAAAAATATTTTTGCAACACTAACAATGCGACGTTTGTTAGGGCTTATTAGATTTATTACTACGCTATCTTAATAGAGAGTCATAAGTTCACGGAAAGTTAAATCGACTTAAAGTATGGCAGCCCAATTACTTGTCAACAGTCATTAGACAACTCACCACTGGATCAATGGATAATCCTAAATGAATCAAGAATTTTTGTTTACGTAAATTTATTTCAATCTATCAATTGACAAACAGAAGGCTCGTTAGATTATTGAATCATTGAGAGGACACGAAATTTATTTTACAATTAGCGCGTGTATGTCGATGTATTAGATGAGCGCGCTTGGAAAATGATTCTCCTCCCATTAATGTCTCCTACTTTCCCGACAGAACCACAAACGTGAATTTCCATTTTACAATTCAAAAACAACAGCCCCACCCCTAACTAAGACCTTCCTAATTAAATAATCGGCTAATTGTTGGCAAACCTACGCTTTTTATTAACTATTCTTGTCGATTGTAAGGTACGTTGGGTGGGGTGGAGTGAAAGCTTACGATAAATATCGTAAGAGCATTAGGCGTCTATCCGGTAAGTAAATGAAGCCGAGTTTCACAGAATTACTAGGAGCATTAAAAAGCTGGCACGAGAGAAAGGCATTTAATCGCCGAATGAAAATAAAGTATTAAAAGTCCTGCGTACCTACCTCCTCGCATCGATAAAGTCAAGAAATGCGCGCGACGAAGCGAGAATCAAAGCGCGCGGGAATTAACGAGGGCCCAAGTACTTTAAGAGAAAAGGCGTCGCCGGATCCTCAATTTAAACAATGGTCGGAGCTCCCATCCAAGGAAAACACGGCGAGTCAACCGGCGTAAAATCCTTGGCGAGCTTTCAGCGAAAGCTCTTGGGCGGAGACGCGCGAACCGAGTACTTTTCGAGCCTCGAGCCGGATTTAAGGGCCGATGATCGCGTCGCGGGGAAGTCGATGCTACTTTAAAGCGCTAAGCGTCGGGCTAAGTAAGCGAGGATCTCGGGTATTGGGGCGGAAAGTGGGGCAGGGAGGGGTGGAGGAGGAGGAGGTCCGACTGCGGCTGCTCTCACGAGGATGAGGAGGAATCGGTCTGACCACGGAGCGGCACATCGCACTTTGCGTTTATCCCCGCTTGCCCTTATCCCCTGGTGACGCTTTCCTTTTCTCTCCGCCCTCTGAGCTCCCCCTTCCCCTTCTATTTACGACGATCCGACCGACGGTTGACGCTTTAACGAGCGGCACTTTTCTTCTTTCGCCCGTGCTACCTGTCAATACTGCCTCAGCCTCGGCTTTCTTCGTCTTCCGCGGCATTGGCTTTTTGTAATATTGTTTGCATTGTCGGGGAGGCCGTTAGACAATTTCTTGGCGCATACCGGAAAGATATTTTTACTTTTAGTGCAGCTATTTATTTACCTCTGTTTCTCACTCACTCACTCACTCACTCACTCACTCACTCTCTCTCTCTCTCTCTTTCTCTCTCTCTCTCTCTATCTCTCTCTCTCTCTCTATCTCTATCTCCCTCGTCTCCGTTGTCTCCCTCGTCTCCCTCGTCTCCGTTGTCTCCGTTGTCTCCGCTGTCTCCCTTGCCTCCCTTGCCACGCTCCTCACTCTCTTGTCTCCAATGCTACTCTTAGCGCTGTAAAATTTTTTTTGAAATATCAGGCAGCTCGTCGAGATAGAAGTGTCGGTAAACAAGAAATGGAAATAGCAAAAATGTGCGTCACACTCGATTGTCGATCTTGCTTAACAATTATACCGACTTCTCGCATTGTTTTGACGAAGGGAAATTAATTTAAATCGACAATACAACATACCTTTGGATTAATTTAATATCTATTTTCCGTCGATCACACGATAAAGCTTAACGCACGCGGATTATTATACGACTAATGAATTATCATATAATAATTATGAGCCACGCGAGGAATGCGGCAATTGGTAATTCGTAAAATACTCGAAAGCAGCACGAACGTTAAAAGGCACTTTTTTTCAATCGTCTGCGCTTCGAAACATTAAAGAAACATTAGGAAAGCCATTACCGTTAAGTTTCAATCGAGTTAAAATTTTAAAATAAATTAATTAGCCTTCCTCGCCTAGACTAGATATTAAAAGCGAGCGAACCTTTAAGCTTCCGATGTTTCCTTTATTCGTAAATGTGCAGCAGCTGATTTTTTTTTTTTTTTTTTTTTTTTTTTTTTTTTTTTATCTAATTGTCATAATAGATATCAAAACGATTATTCGACATTACATAAATTTCTAAAGCGAACGATCTAAGAGTGTTATAAGGCCCTCAAATTGCAATAAATTTGTATTGCTGTGAATGCAGCTTATTTAACATAATAATTATCCTGATTGAACGATGCTTAAGTCGATGCTTACGTGCTTTGGCCTCTATTGGAATATCCATTAACACTGAGCGCTTATAGACGATCGAGTATTTTCATCGACGCGATTATTAAATAGTTACAGTGAACGTTCGTTACGTATTTTAGCTCGTTACGTTGGCAAACGGCTGGTGTGAAAAGTGTGTACACAACGTAAATGTAGAGGATTAGATGAATTACATGTGAAATCTTTGCGAAAGCTTGTAATTAGCCCGGCTGAATTGGTCGCCATGTGGCCTCGCTTAATCCAACCTCTGCCTACTAGCGAGTACATTAATTTGAGGAAATTATTAATGACCGGCACGCCTATAATTAGGCGTATCACGATAAGGGGGCGTAATAAGTGCTCGGTTCGCTATCCCTTGCGCTTGACAAACTTGTTGCAGTTTGGCGATGGCGAGCGGCTCGAGCTCACGAGCACCGCGTGCCTCCCGAGATAAATGCCGGCACTTATCCCAACCGATAACGAATGGCCCAATTATCCGATCTCACGGCTTGAATCGAGTTAGTTGATCCTCACTGTCTCCTCTCCTCGTCTAGGAAAACGTATCTCACGCTCAGGGAGATATGGCTGAACGAGGCGCGCCTTAAGCTGAACCTCGTTTACCAAGAGGGCATATTAACCGACTGCTCGGAGGAGATCCGCGAGGAGGAGGACGTCTGCGCCACGGAACCGGAATGGCTCGAGCTCGCGGCCGAGCAGCGGCTCAAAGTCAAGGCCAGGGTCTACGAGAACGAGACGGAGGCGCGTGAGGCGATCGCCCGGGACTTCCCTTGGCTGCTGGATTCGCTCGGGGAGACGCGACAGCGCTGCGACGTCGCCCAGGGCAACGCCGCAGGCACCTTCGCCGACACCAAGTGAGTAAACCAAGGACCCAACTACGTCCTACCAAATCCGTTGGACTCTCGCTTTTTATCGGGGGAGCCTTGAGCCCGATCTGGTTGGGAGCCCGACAGAACGAGTTACGCACAGTGCGAGGATTGTACGCGTCCGAATAAAGCTCGCGTTTGTTGTCTGGTGATAATTGACGACCGGGAGCCGCGGCCACGGCGATTCTTCCTTACGTCGGTTTAGCCTTTCCAATGGCGACACTCTCGCGTTCTCTCATTGGCAATTTAATGGCCGTTATCGTTGCTGCTGCTGTCACAGCTAATCCCAGGGTGCCCCATCGCCTCGGTCCAACCGATTCATCGCTCGCATATTAATCCAACAATGTCCACTCGATAATTAGGAAAATTAACGCGAATGAAAAAATATTATACACACGGACACGCGCGCGAGCACGTGACCGCGCGACCTTCATTGTGGTGCGGAACGTCCCATCTGTTCAAAGTTCCGATCGGAGCAATAAAATTACCGTCGAAGCTTAAGTTACGGACTAATTAATCAACTTTTACGAGCCGACTCGTGTCCTCCGAATTGCGAACGTGAGACTCTGACAGTGTGCATCGTAGGTGAAGTTAAGTTCGTTGTTGAATAAATTGTATCGCTAGGCGTTTGTGTCGAGGTCACTTTGCACAATGTGCGATAATACGCCTGAACAATAATGTGACAGCAGCAGAAATATATATATATATATATATATATATATATATATATATCTGTAAATTCTAGTTGAATATGAAATAAAGGAATAACTATAATTCATTAGTTTGTTGCTATTGAGTTTTGCATCGCGGCGAGTTAAATGCAAGCATAAATATATCGAGCGTATTAATCTTCGCGCGACAACTTAAGCTCGGAATAAAGTAATGTTTATAAATAATGTTTATAAATGGTCGAATGAACGATACTTTTCAAACAATGAGTCTTCGGACATCGACATTTGTCAGTAAGGGCATTAAAATGAATGAATAAGGACACTTTCCATAATTTGGGCATGTTCGCTCGTTCCATTAGCGCGCGTTTAAAGGTAATTATTATTCCAAGTATCGGGCTGAGTGATTCGATAGCATTACAAATGACGCACTGAAATGTCCTACGAATTCCATTAAAGATTTATGAGCAAACGCGCACGTCGTAATAAGCTGTCGGGGCGCGTGGCTTCGACGACAATTACCAACATAGCGCTCGAAAGTGGCATGGAAGTCACGCGTAATGGTCGAACGAAACTGCAAATGCGCGCGGAATTAGCCACTCGAGGGGAGAGACGTAAGTGACGGAGAGAACTTTTGGGCGCAGCAGTGCCCCATGCGACTCCCATGAGTATCGGCTTTCACGCCCAGGACAAAAGAAGCGATGAAAAATCGCCGCTCTCAAACATCCCTCCCGATCCCCTACTCGTCACCACCCTCGCGTCCCCCCGAGCACGACAAGCCCGTCCCCCGTCCCCCGTCGCCCGTCGCCCTTAATAGTCGAGGTGCAACTGATTGGCAACGGGGCCTTTGTGCGATTACGCAGGGCCGTTGGAACGCGCAGGAAGCGGGGCATCCGCGAGCTGGTCATAGCGCCGGGCACCAAGTGGTGCGGGCCCCACCGACTCGCTTATAGCTACAAGGACCTCGGCGCCCTGGACGGCCTGGACAGATGCTGCCGACGCCACGACCATTGTCCCCGGGCGATCGCGCCCTTCTCCGAGCGATACGGCCTCTTCAATTACATGCCGTTCACGCTCAGCCACTGCGACTGCGACGAGAGGTGAGTGGAGCTTTTGTGCGCGGGGGAGTCGGCCGCCTCCATTGTCCTCGAGGCCTTTGGACCTTCTGGCTTTTCGACCGCTGCTACTTGTTCCGGGAACGAGATTGGCCTGCGGTATGCCGGGAATGGCTCGAGGCTCGCGCGAGACGAGACAAAAGTAGATCGGGATTATTGCGGGGGCGGCACTTGGATTACCGGACTCGGAGAGTTCTTTACTCGCGCATTGTTGCTTAGCGAGGCTCGATTGGACTGCTCGTTTCGGAGCCTTTAAGCTCGTTTTTAGGCTCTCTTGATTTTTTATTTATTTATTTATTTATTTTTTTTCATTTTATTTTTCAACATAACAATGACCCTCGAAGAATTCGAGCTTGAATGGTACAGGAAGGGCCGTCATGGCCGTTTACAATGTAACGAAGTACTTGCTTAATGCACGATTTGCTCGCGAAATATCAAGCGTTTGATGCATTTCATCCCATCTCTCTCTCTCTCTCTCTCTCTTTCTCTCTCTCTCTCTCTCTCTCTCGTCTCGAGTTTATTCGAAAATATTCAATTCGCGGTCTTGTTGAAGAAATTATTTAAAGCCGTTGTACTCTAAATCCAAATCGGAATTGCATTGGAATTTACTTCGGATATGCTAGATCGTAAAATAATGGCTATAAATGAAATTGTGCTTTAAATTTTAAAAGATAAAGAAAAATTATTTTAAACTACAATGTTACGATGATACGATGTATCATTGTGTGCTTCATTGTAATTGAATACGGTAATGTCAAAAGATACAAATATTGTCGTTTAATTGATTGTTTATGATAATAAGTAGTAGATTGTAAAAACGAATCACTGCAGTTGCAATTATTATGATTATTGAGTCACGATTGTAAATTGACAATTTATAAGGCTGTTTTGCTTATCATTAAGAAAGAATCGGTTAATGTGTTAAATTTTCATAAAAATGTGTTAAAACATGCGTATAATAAAAATATAAATTTTGAAAAATTATAAGCACCTAATATTCTCATTGTATAAGGTGTAAAAAATTTTCTTATTAACCAATTGCTTATTGTGATGATTTAAAGTACACATTGTAGATAATAATTAATAAAAATGTAAAAATAAATATTATATATACAGGTACAAAAAAATATTACTGTCTTCGTCGGTACAATATAGATAACATTTTTTGCTATTTTCATATCAAAGGAATATCAAATAATTCCGTTTGTTCGTATTTAAATCTAATATTAATATTTACCATTAACTGCACTTAATTATAAGCCATAAAATATGTTTGTACAGACTGATGTTTATCAGATGTAGACATTAAATATTGAGAGGAAAATTATTTATTCATTGTTAAACGACGAAAATATTTCTTGAAAATATAAATAATTGTTTAAATAACATCAAAAAAAAAAAAAAAAAAAAAAAAAAAAAAAAATATTAGTACTTATTGTTCTTGTTACTATTATAATGTATTTATTTATTTATTTATTTATTTATTTATTTGAAATTATACAGGATTAGGTTATATATTAATGGTTCGTCGTTGTTTTTTCTCTTCAATGATTTTTGTTCGATGATTTTTACTTTTAAATATTAATAAATTTTCATACATACATTCGAGACAAACTTAATAATATTATTTATTATTCTTATATGATAACATTATTTATAATAAAATTTTATGGTATGATTACTTCGTTACATCCCATGTCTCGTCAAATTATCGACAATTATTTAGTAATCGTAAATTAATACGACTTCAATTATGAGTAAATATGATAACTTTTGAACGACCATTTTTACCAACAATTTTCAACTATTCGTGATAAATTTAATTAACATTTCCTATTAATTAATGCTTTCCGCATTATCATTGGTTTAAGGACAGCGATAAAATTTATAATCAAATCGTAGGATTGAACATCCTTGAGGAACAAAAATTAAAAAAAAAAAATTAAAAATAATACCATATACGTGCTATCAGCGCACACAACAATATCAATAATAGATATAATTTTATATTATTTTGCAGATTTCGAACGTGTTTAAAGATGACAGGGACGTCATCGGCCAATGTCATTGGGAAGATCTTCTTCAATATGTTTCAAACCAAATGCTTTGTAATGAAGCCATCAAAAATTTGTATGAGGAGGTCTTGGTGGGGTAAATGCGAGAACTTCGAGTACAAAAAGCAAGGATATTTAAGGGACAACTTATCTTATTAGATTGTTCATCGAAAATATCGTTTGTTCAATACATCATGGGTCAATGCGCAAAAGAAATTCTCAGGACTGATATGGCCGTGATATTTTAGACGGCTGGATTTTATTTTCCAACCTTAAAGGCGAATAATTATCGCGTAAATAAAAATACAGAGTCTAGTAATTATTCCAATTTCCGAATTTACATTGTATTTTAATATGCACCTCGTATTTTCCCTTTAAATATGTCGTAGCAAAATGAACATTAAGATACTTAATTGAGCGAGTGAGTGTTTTATTCACAAGACTAAGTCCAAGTGCATAGTGTAGTAATTAAAATGTTGAGCATTTGTTTCACTTTAATGGATAATTTTAGGACTGTTCGATTCCAAAATATACAAACGTGTAATTTATTCTAGTTGTCTATTATGGTTAGATTTCTAATACGATTACATTGCAACACCGATAAGCAATCATTAAGATTTTAAATGACGCGCGCGCGTGTGTAAGGTAGTGTATTAATGTTGCCCTATCATGTCAATTGAATAATTAATATTTAACTATAAACAAAATATTGTCTGTATGTTATATAAAATCTGAAATGCCCGATCATAATAAAAATTTTACCTATAACGATGAAATAAACAAATGAAGAAAATAATAAAATTTTTATATGCTATAAATTTAGTGGTCATGTATTAAAAATCTTATTTATTAACGAATAAGAATATCGGATAATAATGCTTCTAAGTATCTGACAAGGATTTAAAATTAACCTGTCAAGTATATCTGTGGGAATTAAAATATCGAATTTATGTAACTTTTCTCAAAGAACTATCTATTTCCTCTTTCCAATCGTACATATACAAGTGGTAATAGGTTCAGTGCTAAAATGGTCTGATATTATAATGCAAAGATTTATTTGGCAATCTACGCGTGCAAATCTAATCAATATTCATTAGTATTGGACAAATGTTCAATATCGCAAGCGCTCACTAAGAACATTAAATAATTTTAAGTTACATTATTAATGCATTACATATATTAAGTTATTTAAGCTCTCTCAGAATTTATTTTCATTTTTTATATAATTTTCAAACAATTGTAAATAACGATTCGAGGCTAAGTTCACAAATATAGCGTCAGAGACAAAAATGACGTATTTCCGGTCCATGATGTTCGTCACGATTCTTGCATTCGTGTAATAGTATGAAAAATTACTTGTAGTATCATCAATCTCCTTGGGATTTTTAATTTTTTCTCAAAACGATATTAGTCGTTAAAAGAAACAAAAAGAAAAAAAAAGAAAAAAAATTTGAATCACTAAAAACTAATATACAAAATTAATAAGATAATATAAGCTTTCGTTAAAATCTTGTAACACTAACAATTTATAGTTATTATTCTAATTTGTCATAAACTTTTTTTCTTATTTGCCAATAATAAAGCATAAATTATTATTTATTAAAATTATGGTATTTTTCATACAAAGAATGTCTTTAAACAAATATTCTTTAAAGGAGTATAATTTTATTATTACTATATAATCATAAAAATAAATCATAGATTTTGAAATTTCATTATATTATTCCGTATATGAATGACTATACGCGTAGTTAAAGTATGAAAAACAATTTGGATTGAATTATGCTGCAAATGAATACATTTTTTTGCACGAAAAGAACAAAATGTTTTTTTTTCTTACATATATATGAAATACTCTATTTTATGTAGCAAAGTTTTGTTATTATTAATATATAAATGTTTATAAAAAAAAAAGGGTACTATTTTGTAGATTACAGGAAAAAGTAGAATATATTTTAGGCTCTCTTTTCTCTTAAATAGATTTAATTGTCTTTTCTTGGTCGTCAACTTTTTTCGAAAAAGTTATTAAATTTTGTTACAAACATTAGACGAACTTATATTTAAAAATTGCCAAGTACTATAATTATAAACAATAATATTTAATATTAAAGTGATATATTTGTAAAAAATGTACAATTAAATATATTTATATATTTCAATCGTTATTGAATTCAGTTTCAGACAGTTTATATTTTATTATATTACTTTTAGTGGTTACAACAATCATATATTTATCAGCTATTTAATTTATAAAATATATATTTCCTTTTTAATATGAAGAATTATTTCTTATGTATTTTAATTGATTGAACTAAACTTTAGATTAAGTATGATAGCATTACATACTTCTTATTTACATAATAAATTTACAGTATTTATCCAATGAAATAATAAAAAAATCAAAAAGACATT